CCGCGCCCGCCGCGCCCCGCCCGCCCCAGCGCCGCCGCCGACGCCGCCGCGCGTCCCCCGGCGGCCGCCGTGGTGTGGCCGGTGCGGGGCCCGCACGCACACGCCGGCCACTATTGTCTCCGCGGAGCAAAGTTGGGGCGCGGGGTGACGGTCGCCCCCGGGCGCTGCAGGAGCGCGGGGCGGAGAGCGGTGCGGAAGGCGGGCTCCGCGTTGTGCCGGGCGCGGCGTGGCGCTTCTGCCGACCGCCGCCCCGGTTCCCACGTACCTCCTCCGCTGCGAAAGATGCGGGTTGGAGTTGCCCCAGATGCATTTCTATGAGAAACTTTATTTTTCCTTTTTTTTTTCTTTTTTTTTCTTTTTTTTTGGCGAATTCCACTGGTAAAATATTTATGGATCTATTGAAATGCGCAGAAACAACAACATTAAAGTCCTCAATCAAGATCAAAGAGGAATACTGTTCAACAGCCACGCTGGGGAAGTTGAAAGACCTCCGAACAAATCAATCTGCCATATGGCTTTAGGAAAAAAAAAAAAAAAAAAAAAAAAAAACAAGCAACAAAAAAGCTTCCCCCCCTCCCGCCCCTCCACTCCTATGGCTGAAAAGTTCAATTCTTGTTTTCCTGCCTGTTTACGAAGCTCGGTTTAATCACGCCAAATCTCTGTGTGCCATAGGCGAGGGGAGTGTGTTTAGTCTATGGCTGGGAAGCCTAATTTAGCGCTTGGTACTAGACATCAAGGGTGTGGATGAAGCCTTTTTTTTTTTTTTTTTCTTTTTGTCTCTCTTTCTTTGTCTCGTAACGTGCGATGACGTACAATTGACACGGAGGACTTTTGACGGAGGGTCGGTGTTACCTCGACGCCCCGGGACGGTAGAACACCACTGCCCCCGGACACCCCGGCTAGGAGCTCCGCGCCGGAGTTGCCCCCCCACCACTGGCCCGACCCTTCCTGGGCGCACCGGCCCCGCGCCGCCCTCCCTCCGTCTTGCACTTGGGACGCGAACTGCTTCGGCAATGAGAAAAAAAAAAAAAAACAACAAAATTGGGGCGGGGGAGGCTTTAAATCCTGCCCTTTCCAGGGTTTATTCCCTCGGAATAAAGGGAAAGGGTGGGGGTGGGGGGCAGCGAGCGGGAGGGGAAAGTTGGTAATGAAGGATACACGAATCATAAAATGTAAGCTATGTGTGATTAATGATCTGCACTAATTTGAATAGCAGGCGTGTTAAAGGTCATTGACAATTGTTGCTGCTTTCAGCATGAATGCCTGAATGGGATGTATTTGGGACAATCAAATTTAATTCTAATTCACAGAAAAAAAATAATCAGACGTGCATAGCAGCTGGTCAAAATATAGAGAGGATGTGCATTAAAAAAATGCACATTGCCTATTCTTCAAAGGCAACTTCATTACATTAAGGTGGTGTCTTTAAATGCCTCAATAGTAAATAATGTATCTGGAATGTCTGGATTTTGTTCCTTATGCATCAGCATCTTTCCTGCGCACTTTTTCAATTGCAGGCCAAACTGGGTTCCCAGTTACTCTGGACTTCCAGCATTTTGTGGGAATTCCGAGTTCGCTGATGCCAGATTTACCTGCGAGTGGACCAGACCAGATGTCACCTCTCTAAGCTTGAAGAATTCACCCCAGGCACACACCTATAATACAAGTGCGTAGATTCTCTAATCATGGTTTATATAGTAGTTTAGCATTTCTTTACACAAAGAGTAAGAAATCCATTATAAATCAGCATTCCTGGGCACTATTTAGAACTACAGTATTAAGCTAACAATTTCCATATGGTGAAAATTGACAAGTCAGAGCAATGAAAGGTGCATGAGACTTCCCAACTCCTCTACCTAAAAATGTGATTTTTATGACCTATTCCTTTTCTCTCAGAGTGTGTACAGATTCTTTCCCTTAGACAGTAAAACATGAGAATACACAACGCAGTGCTTGCTCTTTTACTTGATAGAGTAATGCTTAAAATGCTTAATATTTTCCATATTTGCTTCCACAGGGCCAGTCTTGCACTCCTTCTTCCCGTAAGAAAATAGGAGGCTACAGGGGTGAAAGGACTGGAGAACCCATCTCAGGCTTAGTAAGCGAGGGGTATTCCACTTTAATGGAAAGGCAATTAAAAATTCAGAAGATGCAGAGACCTTAAAAACAATCAAGCGGTATATTAATTTCACGGAAAGTCACCAGCAGAGTTCCTCTGTCCATGTAATTTTAAATAGGAGATTTTCTCACATTTCTTCTGCTGAGTCCAGCA